ATCTTTAAGGTCCATTCCAACCCAAACCAGTTTGTGATTCCATGAAACAAGAATTGTAGGGAGTCAGACCCCATTGCTTCTGCTTCCATGGTGACTTATGAGCTGGCTCTCCGCATTTACAGAGAGTCGCGCAAGACTCAATAAATCCTTCTGGAAGCAGAATATCAAAGGTGGATCTGCAGGCACCAGTTCCAGTTCAGCAACAGTCGGACTTGTTTTGCCTGGGTTCAGCCATTATCTGACATAGCTCAACTTTCCCGTACAGTAGATAATGGAGAACTGACCTCTTGTGGATTTTAAGACTTAAGACTGTAGTACTTTGGCTTGTTATCCAACAATCTTTTACGAATTAACTAACACAGGTAAATAACTGTGTAATGCTGGTGGCTATTTTCAGCTGCTTTGTGGTTCCAGACAGGAAGCAAGTGCCACTCCTGGCCCATTTCCAGCTCCAGGAATCCCCAGTTTGTTAACTCCCACAGTCCCTAACATAAATATACCATTGCTTCCTCATGATCTCAACAGGGCCTCAACACACTGTGTTTCAAGATTTATAAGAAATTAAATAGGAAAACAAAGTAGTAATAATAATTTTTAAAAATCTGTGGTTGCAGTTTTAGCATATTAATGAGGTTTTTCAGCACTTTAAAAAACCAACAAACCTGGCTGCTCTTAAATTTAGTAAAACAGGAATGCTACTTATGGCCCACAGAAAGGGCTAATGACATGTGCCTTAATTTATGGAGTAGCAGGTGATATAAAAATATTCCTACCAATTATAATACACGTTCATCTCTAGCGCTGGGGATGCACCACAAGAACAACACTCAGGGTACCAGAGTCCTATGCATGACTTCACTATTGACATGTCGTGTGACCTGTAGCATGCACGTTTCTCTCTACCAGCTTCAGTTTTCCTATGTGGAGTACAGGCAGAGTGATACTCACCTCTTGCTTAAATTTGTTTGAGAGCTGCTGACAAGAAGTGCTAGATTATGAGGCAGCAGTTTTTATTATGTAGATTTTATATATGCACCAGACAGGTCACAGTTGCCCTGCACTGCTCAAATCTAGAGCAACTTCAGCAGTTCAGAATTCCAGGTTGGTTAAACTCTGATGGATTACTCAACCCAAAGAATGTCTAAACTCATTTAAAGTCACAGCCCCCATATAAAGATAGCTTTGAGGTGTGGCAATCTGGGTCCTACTGCTTTAGCAACCCCCAAATAAACAAAATCCCATGCCTCCCACTCTTCTCAAATTCTGTACAGAAGAAAAAAATATCAAAAAACAGATGAATTAAGAGTATGAGACAGAGAAAAACCACAAATACATATTTGGAATTCACAGAAGGAGGCTCTTCTAAACCTTTTATGTCAATGTAAAGCAGTGCAGCAAAATTTAAAAAAAAAAAAAAAAAAAAGCAAACCAAAAAAAACCTGAGCTAACTTTTGAGTAAAATACTTTGAGACACAGGAGCTGTGTAGCTGCAGCATCATGGTGCATGGGGATGCTAATTGGGCTCAGTCTAAAGACTGAAGTGACATGACCTACACATGGCAGTGTCTCTACATGGTACAGCACTGTGCCGGTAGCTAAACCAGTCTGTGTGGGCATGGCCTAAATATCTCAACACAGTACGGCACTGAACCATATGGACATTTGCACACACTTGGCTCATATTCCTTAATCTTTCAGGTTGCCCAAGGAAGTTGTGGATGCCTCCTCCCTGGAAGTGTTTAAGGCCAGGCTGGATGAGGCTTTGAGCAACCTGGTCTAGTGGAAGGTGTCCCTGCTGATGGCAGGGGGGTTGGAAATGGATGATCTTTAAGGTCCCTTCCAACCCAAACCATTCTATGATTCTATGACAATTTTATCCACTGATGTTTTCTGGATGTTCTACTGAAATATTTGCAGGTAAACAACACTGTTTCCCAAGGAGTGAGCAATGTCTCTGTGGAACACTGTAGATGACCTCCACAGGTGGAAGCCACCTGTACTGCTTAGATGTCTAAGTGGTATAAGTCTCAACTAGTAACTAGCTCTGTTTTGAAGCAGTAAAGAGAAACTAGAACCTCTAGGGTCTCTCCACTGACCAAGAAAGGAGTCTTGAGTGGTTTGGGATTTCAAAAGTGAGTAAGTTAAATCCTGAAACTTCTTTCCCTTTCCGTATCTTCACCTCTTCTAGCTACTTGCCCTCAATGAAATCAGAAGCCATATCTCAGTCACTCCTAGTCCTCCATCAGATTTCCTCAACGTTTTAGTCAATATTCTTACAAATATTCTTACCTGTGGCCTGACAATCGACTCTCATTTTTCTTGAGGGATCTTTCTCTCTTCTCTCTTCCAGACCCTGAATGTCTGTGAGGGGCACTCACTTTAAGGCTTTTTTCATTGCTGTCTGTACCAAAACTTGGAACTGACTTTCTTTCTTCTGTCTTGGTCTTCTCTCTTTCAGAGAGTAATTTGACAACAGAGTCACCTGTATCTTTGGGGATGTTTCTTAGGTTTTCAAAGGTTGAACTTGCGTGTGAGGTTGAGATAGTCTTTGATGCAAACTCCGTATTTACTTGTGTTGAAGATCCTTTGCTGTCTTGAAAATCAGTACTTGGGACATTCAGGTCACTTTCTTCATCTTCACCCTTGAACTGTGCTGAACTGCTTATGCTAGTGGAGTGTTTTGAAAGCCTCCTTTTTTGCAGCTCCTAGAAATAAGTGCCATTAAAATAATAGATTAAAATTTGAGCATCATTAAATAAACATGAAAAACAAAGGAAGGCTCTATCACTAATTTCTGAGCCAAGCAATTTGTTTATTATTGGGAATTAGGTTATAGAGGAAATCAGATTTTTTAAAAAATTGATAATAAATGACAGACATATACTTTTACTTAAAATTCCAACAGTATTAAAGATGCTATATACCATTAAAAACTGCTTTCTTTTACCCAAGAACATCAACAAAATAATCCCTAAAAAGCTTAATTTTGAGGTTGTACCCAACTCAGGAAACCAAGACATATAAGACATTTTATTGGAAAGACCACCCAATACAGGCATCTAGTCTTTATTCCCAAATCAGAGATATTTAGGAAAATCCAACTAATTCATTTAACTTCCATAGTCTCTTCAGTATTATCTAAATAGTATGTTTAAAATATTTCCATTTCTCATTATTAGATGCCTAATTTTACACGGGGAAAGCTCCTGTCTATATAAAAGCAGCATTGAGGGGAAAAAAAAGAAAAAAAAAAAGAAAAAAAAAGAAGATAAGAATTTTAGAACTGTGTTTTGAAAACACTTACTGGTGGAATATGTTCTTATTGGACCTATCAGAAACATATTTCTAACCGGAAGTAATTTTCTGTTCCAAACTGATAGAGTGGAGTTTTGGAAAAATCTCAGTAAAACAGATACCCATGGCTAAGAAAATTTTGAAAGCTGTAGGTACTGATAAGGTAAAAAAGCAATAGTCTTAGGAAAATGGAAAATCTCATCTGTCAAGAGATATCTAGAATGGAAAAGATTTATGAAGAAATCTGTGACCTAAGATCACAGATATGCAGGGGGTAGTTGCTTGTAGTGATAATATCTGAAACAGTTTGAATTTCTGAATTAACCAGAACCACTTCCCTAACTTACCACGTATTTTCAGACTGAAGATTTAAGTGGATTAGCATGCAGAAGTAATTTTAATATTATTTGCAAATGATTTTATCGATGAAGGTTAGATATAAAATCCATGGCCAAGCCAAATATTTTGTAAGTGTTGAAAATCACCTCTGGTGAACTTGCTACTGGTCCAGCCATCATTCCCTTGACAATGAGACCAGATCTGGGCTTTGGCTTCTCTTTCACTGCAGACTTCATCTCCTCAGAAATCGTTGCTGCTTTTAAATCTTCTCGACTATCTTTTAACTTCTTATCCCCATCAGAGGGTAAGTGGCTGTTGTGTATTGTCCCTGTGTGGCATTTTTCACTTTTGTGTTGATGTTTTCTGGATGGAAGGATTTTATCTAGTGGATTCTTAACATCATGTCTACAAGGAAGAAAAAGGCAAAACTTCAAACAGTAAAAATAATGCACAATGAAATAAATGAAAACATCTGCCTGGCTAATTAAAGTACTGCTGTCAAATTAAGTCACTTACTATCTAGCAATGGTACTCAAATACAATCCCTTTTCACTTAAACATCTATATGTTGATCTTCAGGACATTAGTTCAGTATCACTGTGTGTCACAATGGGTTATATTATGTGTAACACTTTAATCTTATGTTTACTTATTTTGATATGTACCATATAATTACAGAAAATAAACTATATATATCATCACAGACAGGTCCTAAGATACCACTAGCAATTCCCAATCCTTCTCCGTCTGCTTTGCTGGCAGTTTCAAAATTTGTTAACACTTTTGCTAACATCCTCTGTTATCATGTAACTTGGACTGGTTCTACTGACCCCTTTCACTCTTTGTTCAAATGTAGAGCATTTAATTTAGTTCAAAAATAAAAGTACTTTTCTATTTGGACTTTTCCTTCATAACAGGTTGGTTGCTACACTGCTGTTATTTGACCTCTTCCTTACTCTCCATCCTGGTCCTCCAGATAGCAACACAAGGTGCAGTTCACAACATCTGTTTTCCTACACATATATAAAGCTATAAACAACCTTTTTTGAAATGCAAGTGAGATTCACCTGGATCTGTGACTCTGTTTGTAGACCACTATATGCATTTCTTTCTTAAAAATATATTTTAACAGATTATGAGCTTACAAAAAAAAGTACGAAAGTGCCTGTACGAAATCACGATGAGTCCCATTTTCTTCATCAGGATCTGTTTCACTGTCTGCATAATATTAGATTGCTGTTAAATGGAAGTTCTTTTTTTTTGAGTAGTTCCTACTTCACTGAGACCTCTTTTGTGTCAGCTGATAAATTTATATTCTCTAACCTGAAAATGCTAGCCTTCTTTACAATAACTGTCCTGGAACTTGTTTTTCACTCTATTATGTCCTTCTCCATCCTATTTCATAGTAAAGCAGTTACACAAGTTGAAGCATCTTGTACTACAAAAACATTCCTTTTATTTATTCAGTTAAAAATTGGTTTTTGAAGTAGTATGTCTTGTGTTGTGAAAACACGCTGCATATGTAAACTGAAGGGAGCATGACCAGTCTCTGGAAGCATTATGAAGCCTGAAGATTGTTAGTCATGACCATGTCACTCCTCATTGCCAAAGGGCACAGTGTGTCAGCTTAGAGACTGTTTGAACAGTTGCAGACATTCAAAAACTCTTCAAGAGGCAAGCTAAAAGGAAAGAAGACACTTTAATAAGGAACCAGTGGAGAGTATCTGTTTAATTATACTCTCCGCTCCTGAAAGCATTGTTAAAAATTATCCAGGTATTTGAAATTAAAACTAATTTCAAACACTGGCTCTTTGACCTGGTAATGCCTGATTTTTCCTTAGCCAGAGGGGATGGAAATGGCCAGGAGGATCACAGAGCTGCGCTTTGCCATGGCGTTCCTCTCACTGCTTCGTTTTGTGGGCTGAAATAGGACGTGGTTGAGCCAACCCAGCAACCTGCCCACAACAGTCCTTGTTACAGCAGCTTTGCAGCCTCGTCCTGCAGCCACGCTGTGGAAATGCAGACGAACTGCAGGGCTGGGACAAGACCTGATCAAAGGGAAAAATGGAGCCATCCATCCAGGAGTGCCAATCTGTGTCTGAGGGTCAGATTCTCAGCTGTTTTCAAAAGAAAAATCAGTTACAAACACTGATTTGTATCAGGAGAGGCCCCAAAACCCACATTCCTCTGTCACACCCAGTTCACCCATTTTTCCTTCCTTGTACCTCCAGCCAACTTTGGTCTCCTCCTCAGGAAGGCAAAACCGGTGAGTCTGATGCATTTTTGGTGGTGACCTGTGACAGGACAAGGGGCAACGGGCAAAAACTGGAACAACAGAAGTTCCACACAAACTTAAGGAAAAACTTTTTTACTGTACAGGTGTCAGAGCCCTGGGACAGGCTGCCCAGGGAGGCTGTGGAGTCTCCTTCTCTGGAGATGTTCCAAACCCACCTGGACACTTTCCTGTGTAACCTGCTGTAAGAACCTGCTTTGTCAGGGGGGTTGGCCTGGATGATCTCCTGAGGTCCCTTCCAACCCCCACCATTCTGTGATTTCATGAAGAGGTGAAAAATGGTTAAAAAATCACACAGGACTGAGATGGAAGCCTTTAAGCCAATACAGGATTTTGCTGCCTCCAGTGCTGGCAACTTTCAATGTGTCATGGAGTAATGTTTCCAAGTTCATAAAAAAAGGAAAAAAAGGGGAAAAAAAAGCAAAAAACCAGGAAAAAACAGGAAAAACAGGAAAAACAGGAAAAACAAGGAAAAACAAGGAAAAACAAGGGAAAAAAGGGAAAAAAAGGGAAAAAAGGGAAAACAAGGGAAAAAAAGGAAAAAAGGGAAAACAAGGGAAAACAAGGGAAAAAAAAGGAAAACAAAGGAAAAAAGGAAAAAAGCGAAAAAAGGAAAAAAGGGAAAAAAGGGAAAAAAGGGAAAAAAAAGGAAAAAAAGGAAAAAAAAAAAATAAAACCTCCCTTCTTCTTCACCCTGGTCTTCTCCTCCCCGACGTCTCCGAGAGCACTGACCCAGCGCCGCATCGCTGAAGGGATTAATCACCAAATTGTTTTTCATTTTAGCGGAAAGTAAAGAAACTAACTAACCGCGTTCTAATATTGGTCTTTTAAAGCCGGGCTGCGCCGAGCCTGGCGAAGGCTTTGTATTTACGTTCTCTGACTTGATT